GTGCCCTGGACGACCGTCACGGATAGCGGCCGCGGTGAGAGACCACCCCTTGCGCACCCCCTATGGTGTCGAGGATATGCCATGCCTGCTGTGCCCTGGACGACCGTCACGGATAGCTGCCGTTGTGAGAGACCACCCCCTGCGCACCCCCGTCGAGAATATGCCATGCCTGCTGTTATGGTGTCGAGCACCCCCTGTATGCCATGCCTGCTGTGCCCTGGACGACCGTCACGGATAGCGGCCGCGGTGAGAGACCACCCCCTGCGCACCCCCTATGGTGTCGAGGATATGCCATGCCTGCTGTGCCCTGGACGACCGTCACGGATAGCGGCCGCGGTGAGAGACCACCCCCTGCGCACCCCCTTCGTGTCGAGAATATGCCATGCCTGCTGTGCCCTGGACGACCGTCACGGATAGCGGCCGCGGTGAGAGACCACCCCTTGCGCACCCCCTATGGTGTCGAGAATGTGCCATGCCTGCTGTGCCCTGGACGACCGTCACGGATAGCGGCCGCGGTGAGAGACCACCCCTGCGCACCCCCCTATGGCGTCGAGAATATGCCATGCCTGCTGTGCCCTGGACGACCGTCACGGATAGCGGCCGCGGTGAGGGACCCCCCCTGCGCACCCCCGATGGTGTCGAGAATATGCCATGCCTGCTGTGCCTGGGCGACCGTCACGGGTAGCGGCCGCGGTGAAAGACCAGACCACCCCCTGCGCACCCCCTATGGTGTCGAGAATATGCCATGCCTGCTGTGCCCTGGACGACCGTCACGGATAGCGGCCGCGGTGAAAGACCACCCCCTGCGCACCCCCTATGGTGTCGAGAATGTGCCATGCCTGCTGTGCCCTCGACGACCGTCACGGATGGCGGCCGCGGTGAGAGACCACCCCCAGCGCATCCCCTATGGTGTCGAGAATATGCCATGCCTGCTGTTCCCTGGACGACCGTCACGGACAGCTGCCGCGGTGAGAGACCACCCCCTGCGCACCCCCTGCGGCGCCCAGGAAATGCCACGCCTGCCACGCCCTGGGAGCCTACAACGCGTAGGGCCCCCACCCCCAGCGCACCCCCTGTTGCGTTGTGTTGTGCTGTGCTGTGCTGCTGTGCGGTGAGCTGTGCTGTGCCGTGCTGTGCTGTGCTGTGCTGTGCTG